TCCTGGAGCTGGAGCTGCTGAGGGTGTTGGTGCTGAGACCACTGCTGTCTGTCCTCTCGGTGGTTCTGCTGCTGGTACTGCTGTTGGTCCTGCCGCTGGAGGTGTGGGTGGCGCTGGTGCTGTCGCTGAGGGTGCTGGTGCTGTCCCTGCTGAGTCTGGAGCTGCCGCGCGGCCTCGGCCGTACTTCGTTCCGCTCCTGCAGCAGGTTCTTGGTCTTTCTCCTCCGGTAGAGGGTTCACCGCCTGTCCAGTCGCAGTCCCTACTGGAGCCTTCCTCTCCACTGCCTGCTCCCTCTCCTTACACTGGTCCTACTGGTGGTCTTGCTGAGCGCCGTGAGCCTGCGTCTCGTCCCGCGTCGCCTGTTCGTGCTGCTCGCGCTAGTGGTCGCAGTTCGCGTCAGCGTCCTCCTCCTGTCCCTGGCACACACCGGATGTCTCTGCGTCCGTCCACTGCTCCTCTGCGTGCCCCTTTGCCTTCTCCTCCTGAGTCCTCTCTTCCTGCGCTTGCTGACCCTGAGTTGGACTCTCTTCGTGCTGCCAGTCCTACTGTCACGCGTCTGCTTGCTACTGTCGTCACTGACCCCTCTTTTGAGTCCACTGCTGCGTCTGCTCTTGTCGCTGAGCTCGTCGACTTTGCTGCTCGCTGTCGTCTCGACTACGCTGCTAGTCTTGTTGCTGAGTCTGCGTCTGTCTGTCCTCCGTCCGTCGGGGGTGAGAGTGCTCTTGGCACGGACGTCCTAGAGGACAGGCAGGAGGAGTTACAGTGTCTGGCTGCTGCTTCACCTCATCTCGCGTCTGTACTGCTTGCTCCTGAGGGAGACCCGGATGCACTAGACATCCCGACTCCGCGCTCTTACGCGGGAGGCCGTAGAGGGTCCCTACTCCTCTCAGTGGCAGGCAGCTATGGATGCAGAGATGGCTTCCTGGAAGTCCACAGGCACCTACGTTGACGCAGTTCCCCCTCCTGGGGCGAACATCGTCAGTGGCATGTGGATCTTTAGGGTGAAGCGGCCGCCGGGCTCTCCACCTGTCTTCAAGGCGCGGTACGTTGTTCGTGGCTTCAGTCAGCGGCAGGGAGTTGACTACTTTCAGACCTTCTCTCCCACCCTGAAGATGACCACTCTTCGGGTGCTGCTGCACATAGCCGCTCAGCGCGACTACGAGCTTCACTCTCTCGACTTCAGCACTGCGTTCTTGCAGGGTAGCCTGCACGAGGAGATCTGGCTGCGCCGTCCGCCTGGCTTCACTGGGACTTTCCCTCCTGGCACCCAGTGGAGCCTCCGACGGCCAGTCTACGGTCTCCGCCAGGCACCGCGTGAGTGGCACGACACACTGAGGACTACGCTTGCGGCTCTTGGGTTTGCTCCCTCTACTGCTGACCCGTCGCTGTTTCTGCGCACCGACACTTCACTGCCGCCGTTCTACATCCTCGTGTACGTCGACGACTTGGTCTTTGCCACAGCGGACACTGCTGGACTCGCCTACGTGAAGTCCGAGCTGCTGAAGAGACACACGTGCACTGACCTGGGTGAACTGCGCAGCTACCTTGGCTTGCAGATCACTCGGGATAGAGCACGCCGCACCATTACCTTGACTCAGTCACACATGGTGCAGCAGGTCCTTCAGCGCTTCGGCTTCACGTACTCCTCGCCTCAGGCCACTCCTCTGCCTACTCGCCACTCACTCTCAGCTCTGCCTTCGGATGAGTCCTTAGAGTCGAGTGGTCCGTATGCAGAGCTTGTTGGCTGCCTCATGTACCTGATGACCTGCACACGACCTGACCTTGCATACCCTTTGAGCATTCTTGCACGCTATGTTGCTCCTGGGAGACACCGACCAGAGCACATGGCAGCAGCGAAGAGGGTATTGCGCTACCTGTGCAGTACGTCGGGCATGGGGCTAGTGCTTGGAGGGCGGAGTCCACTGGTCCTTACAGGCCACGCGGACGCTTCTTGGGCTGACGACCAGGCTACGCAGCGGTCGTCACAGGGTTACACCTTCAGCCTTGGTTCCGGCTCTGTCTCGTGGCGGTCTACTCGCTCGTCTTTAGTTCTCGGCTCCAGTTGTGAGGCTGAGATCTACGCCGGGGCCATGGCTGCACAGGAGCTTCGCTGGCTCACCTACCTGCTGACTGACCTTGGAGAGCCGCCTCGTTCTCCTCCAGTGCTGTACGTAGACAACAAGGCCATGCTGGCCTTGTGTCGAGAGCAGCGCTTGGAGCACAGAACGAAGCACATTGCTCTCCGCTACTTCCTTGCTCGTGAGCTGCAGCAGCGTGGTCAGTTGCGACTTGCGTACGTGGCCTCTAAGGCCAACACTGCTGATGTGTTCACCAAGGCACTCGCGCCTTGTGACGATCAGCGCTTTTGCACCCAGCTGGGTCGTGTGCCTGTCTTGCCTCACTTGCTCTCCTCTTGACTTCACTTGTACTGTGACATATATATATACCTGCTCTTGCTTGTCTAGTTTTATATATATGTCTGTCCTCCTGCATGTGAACTGGCCTCTGGCCCTACTCTTGTGCTCGGACTGTGTGGTGACTTTGTGATCCACCCTGAGCTTGCTTTGCTTTGCTTTGCTTGACTGGTCTTGTGACCCCTTGTTCTCCCCCACTTTGCCTATGGGGGTGTGTCAGAGTATTATAACTGATGCATGTTTGTAGGCTATAGTGGGGTAGCACATATGGGGTACAGCTTTCTAGGGTTGTATTTGTACCCAACTCTGACTTAGTCATTTCATTCCTGTTCATTCTTTTCACATTGGCGAGGTCGGTCAGTATGGGAACTTAGAGTGCAAATGCCTGGGAGAACAGAACCGCTCAGATCTCGCATAATACACGGAATCCAGTGGTCTCACTCAAATATAAGGTAGGAAATATATTCATCTAGTGAACGTAAGGGTTTGAAAGGTAACTAACGCACATGTGTAGAGAAAATTGTGCATCGGCCAGTCTGGCCGGCATTTCGCACTTATAGTGCAAGTAGGGCCAAGGAGAACGGAAACGCTCATTTCTCAGAAAGTAAAGGGAATCTAGCCGGATCACTCGATCAAAAGGTGGGAAATATATAAATCTAGTGAGCTAATAAGGTTCGGAAGGAATCTAATGTATATGTATATGGAAAGTGGTGCATTGGCCAGGTCGGTCAGTATGGGAACTTATAGTGCAAATGCCAGGGAGAATGGAAGCGCTCAGATCTCGCATAGTACACAGAATCTAGTGGTCTCACTCAAATAGAAGGTAGGAAATAAATTCATCTAGTGAACGTAAGGGTTTGAAAGGTAACTAACGCACATGTGTAGAGAATATGGTGCATCGGCCAGTCTGGCCGTCATTTCGCACTTATAGTGCAAGTAGGGCCAAGGAGAACGGAAACGCTCATTTCTCAAAAAGTAAAGGGAATCTAGCGGTCTCACTCGATCAAAAGGTGGGAAATATATAAATCTAGTGAGCTAATAAGGTTTGAAAGGAATCTAATGCATATGTATATGGAAAGTGGTGCATTGGCCAGGTCGGTCAGTATGGGAACTTCAGTGCAAATGCCTGGGAGAACAGAACCGCTCAGATCTCGCATAATACACGGAATCTAGTGGTCTCACTCAAATATAAGGTAGGAAATATATTCATCTAGTGAACGTAAGGGTTTGAAAGGTAACTAACGCACATGTGTAGATAAAATTGTGCATCGGCCAGTCTGGCCGGCATTTCGCACTCAGAGTGCAAGTAGGGCCAGGGAGAACGGAAACGCTCATTTCTCAGAAAGTAAAGGGAATCTAGCGGGATCACTCGATCAAAAGGTGGGAAATATATAAATCTAGTGAGCTAATAAGGTTCAGAAGGAATCTAATGCATATGTATATGGAAAGTGGTGCATTGGCCAGGTCGGTCAGTATGGGAACTTAGAGTGCAAATGCGAGGGAGAACGGTACCGCTCAGATCTCGCATAATACACGGAATCTAGTGGTCTCACTCAAATATAAGGTAAGAAATATATTCATCTAGTGAACGTAAGGGTTGAAAGGTAACTAATGCACATGTGTAGAGAAAATGGTGCATCGGCCAGTCTGGCCGGCATTTCGTACTCATAGTGCAGGTTGGGCCAGGTAGAACGGAAACGCTCGTTTCTCAAAAAGTAGAGGGAATCTAACGGTCTCACTCGATCAGAAGGTGGGAAATATATAAATCTAGTCAGCTAAAAAGGTTTGAAATGTATTCAACGCACATGTATAGAGAAAATGGTGCATTGGCCAGGTCGGTCAGTATCGGAACTTAAAATGCAAATGCCAGGGAGAACGGAAGCGCTCAGATCTCGCATAGTACACGGAATCAAGTGGTCTCACTCAAATAGAAAGTAGGAAATATATTCATCTAGTGAACGTAAGGGTTTGAAAGGTAACTAACGCACATGTGTAGAGAAAATGGTGCATCGGCCAGTCTGGCCGGCATTTCGCACTCATAGTGCAGGTGGGGCCAGGGAGAACGGAAACGCTCGTTTCTCAAAAAGTAGAGGGAATCTAACCGTCTCACTCAATCAAAAGGTGGGAAATATATAAATCTAGTCAGCTAAAAAGGTTTGAAATGTATTCAACGCACATGTATAGAGAAAATGGTGCATTGGCCAGGTCGGTCAGTATCGGAACTTAAAATGCAAATGCCAGGGAGAACGGAAGAGCTCAGATCTCGCATAGTACACGGAATCAAGTGGTCTCACCCAAATAGAAAGTAGGAAATATATTCATCTAGTGAACATAAGGGTTTGAAAGGTAACTTACTCACATGTGTAGAGAAAATTGTGCGTCGGCCAGTCTGGCCGGCATTTCGCACTGATAGTGCAACTAGGGCCAAGGAGAACGGAAACGCTCATTTCTCAGAAAGTAGAGGGAATCTAGCGGTCTCACTCGATCAGAAGGTGGGAAATATATAAATCTAGTGAACTAAAAAGGTTTGAAAGGAATCTAATGCATATGTATATGGAAAATGGTGCATTGGCCAGGTCGGTCAGTATGGGAACTTCGAGTGCAAATGACATGGACGTGGTCGTGGACGTGGACGTGGACGTGGACATGGACATGGACATGGACGTGGACATGGACGTGGACGTGGACATGGACGTGGACGTGGACATGGACGTGGACATGGACGTCGACGTGGACAGGGACGTGGACGTGGACGTGGACGTGGACACGGACGTGGACGTGGACGTGGACGTGGACGTGCACGTGGTCGTGGACGTGGACGTGGACGTAGACGTGGACGTGGACCTGGACGGGGACGTGGACGTGGACCTGGACGTGGACGTGGACGCGGACATGGACGTGGACGTGGACGCGGACATGGACGGGGACGTGGACGCGGACGTGGACGTGGACGTGGACGTGGACCTGGACGCGGACATGGACGTGGACATGGACGTAGACGCGGACGTGGAGGACTTGGACGTGGACATGGACGTGGACATAGACGTGGACGTGGACGTGGACGTGGACATGGACGTGGACGTGGACGTGGACGTGGACGTAGACGTGGACGTAGACGTGGACGTGGACGTAGACGTGGACGTGGACGTGGACGTGGACGTGGACGTGGACGTGGACGTGGACGTAGACGTGGACGTGGACGTGGACGTGGACGTGGTCGTGGACGTGGACGTGGACGTGGACGTGGACGTGGACGTGGACGTGGAGGTGGACGTGGACGTGGACGTGGACGTGGACGTGGACGTGGACGTGGAGGTGGAGGTGGACGTGGACATGGACGTGGAGGTGGACGTGGAGGTGGACGTGGACGTGGTCGTGGACGTGACGTGGACGTGGACGTGGACGTGGACGTGGACGTGGACGTGGACGCGGACGCGGACGTGGACGTGGACGCGGACGCTGACGTGGACGTGGACGTGGACGTGGACGTGGACGTGGACGACGTGGACGTGGACGTGGACGTGGACGTGGATGTGGACGTGGACGCGTGGACTGGACGTGGAGGACGTGGACGTAGACGTGGACGTGGACGTGGACGTGGACGTGGAGAACTTGGACGTGGACATGGACGTGAACGTGGACGTGGACGTGGACGTCGAGGACTTGGACGTGGACATGGACGTGGACGTGGAGTGGACGTGGACGTGGACGTGGACGTTTACGTGGACGTAGACGTGGACATGGACGTGGACGTGGACGTGACGTGGACGTGGACGTGGACGTGGACGTGGACATGGACATGGACGTGGACGTGGACGTGGACATGGAGGTGGACGTGGACGTGGACGTGGACATGGACGTGGACATGGACGTGGACGTGGACGTGGACATGGACGTGGACATGGACGTGGACGTGGACGTGGACGTGGACGTGGAGTGGACGTGGAGTGGACGTGGACGTGGACATGGACGTGGACGTGGACGTGGACGTGGACGTGGATGTGGACGTGGACGTGGAGGACGTGGACGTGGACGTGGACGTGGAGAACTTGGACGTGGACATGGACGTGAACGTGGACGTGGACGTGGAGGACTTGGACGTGGACATGGACGTGGACGTGGACGTGGACATGGACGTGGACGTGGACGTGGACGTGGAAGTGGACGTGGACGTGGACATGGACGTGGAGGTCGACGTGGACGTGGACGTGGACATGGACCTGGACATGGACGTGGACGTGGACGTGGACGTGGACATGGACGTGGACGTGCACATGGTCGTGGACGTGGACGTGGACGTGGACGTGGACATGGTCGTGGACGTGGACGTGGACGTGGACATGGACGTGGACGTGCACATGGTTGTGGACGTGGACGTGGACGATGGACGTGGACGTGGACATGGACGTGGACATGGACGTGGACATGGACGTGGACGTGGACATGGACGTGGACGTGGACATGGACGTGGACATGGACGTGGACATGGACGTGGACATGGACGTGGACGTGGACGTGGGCGTGGACGTGGACGTGGACGTGGACGTGGAGATGGACGTGGACGTGGACGTGGAGGACTTGGACGTGGAGATGGACGTTGACGTGGACGTGGATGTGGACGTGGACGTGGACGTGGACATGTACGTGGACGTGGACATGGACGTGGACATGTACGTGGACGTCGACGTGGAAGTGGACGTGGACGTGGAGAACTTGGACGTGGACATGGACGTGGACATGGACGTGGACGTGGATGTGGACGAAGACATGGTCGTGGATGTGGACGTGGACGTGGACGTGGACGTGGACGTGGACATGGACTTAGACGTGGACGTGGACGTGGACGTGGACGTGGACGTGGTCGTGGACGTGGACGTGGTCGTGGACGTGGACGTAGACAGGGACATGGACTTGGACATGGACGTGGACGTGGACATGGACGTGGACGTGGACATGGACATTGACATGGACGTGGACGTCAACGTGGACGTGGACATAGACGTGGACGTGGACGTGGACATGGATATGGACACGTCCACGTCCATGTCCACATCCACGTCCATGTCCACGTCCACGTCCATGTCCACGTCCATGTCTATGTCCATGTCCATGTCCATGTCCCGTCCACGTCCATGTCATTTGCACTCTAAGTTCCCATACTGAGCGACCTGGCCAATGCACCATTTTCCATATACATATGTATTAGATTCCTTTTGAACCTTATTAGCTCACTAGATTTATATATTTCCCACCTTCTGATCGAGTGAGACCGCTAGATTCCCTCTACTTTTTGAGAAATGAGCGTTTCCGTTCTCCTTGGCCCTAGTTGCACTATAAGTGCGAAATGCCGGCCAGACTGGCCAATGCACAATTTTCTCTACACATGTGCGTTAGTTACCTTTCAAACCCTTACGTTCACTAGATGAATAGATTTCCTACTTTCTATTTGAGTGAGACCACTTGATTCCGTGTACTATGCGAGATCTGAGCGCTTCCGTTCTCCCTGGCATTTGCATTTGAAGTTCCGATACTGACCGACCTGGCCAATGCACCATTTTCTCTATACATGTGCATTGAATACATTTCAAACCTTTTTAGCTGACTAGATTTATATATTTCCCACCTTCTCATCAAGTGAGACCGTTAGATTCCCTCAACTTTTTGAGAAACGAGCGTTTCCGTTCTCCCTGGCCCCACCTGCACTATGAGTGCGAAATGCCGGCTAGAGTGGCCAATGCACCATTTTCTCTACACATGTGCGTTAGTTACCTTTCAAACCCTTACGTTCACTAGATGAATATATTTCCTACCTTATATTTGAGTGAGACCACTAGATTCCGTGTATTATGCGAGATCTGAGCGGTTCCGTTCTCCCAGGCATTTGCACTCTAAGTTCCCATACTGACCGACCTGGCCAATGCACCACTTTCCATATACATATGCATTAGATTCCTTCCGAACCTTATTAGCTCACTAGATTTATATATTTCCCACCTTCTGATCGAGTGAGACCGCTAGATTCCTTTTACTTTTTGAGAAATGAGCGTTTCCGTTCTCCTTGGCCCTACTTGCACTATAAGTGCGAAATGCCGGCCAGACTGGCCGATGCACCATTTTCTCTACACATGTGCGTTAGTTACCTTTCACACCATTACGTTCACTAGATGAATTTATTTCCTACCTTCTATTTGAGTGAGACCACTAGATTCCGTGTACTATGCGAGATCCGAACGCTTCCGTCTCCCTGGCATTTGCACTCTAAGTTCCCATACTGACCGACCTGGCCAATGCACCATTTTCCATATACATATGCATTAGATTCCTTTCGAACCTTATTAGCTCACTAGATTTATATATTTCCCACCTTCTGATTGAGTGATACCGCTAGATTCCCTCTACTTTTTGAGAAATGAGCGTTTCCGTTTTCCTTGGCCCTAGTTGCACTATAAGTGCGAAATGCCGGCCAGACTGGCCGATGCACCATTTTCTCTACACATGTGCGTTAGTTACCTTTCAAACCCTTACGTTCACTAGATGAATATATTTCCAACTTTCTATTTGAGTGAGACCACTTGATTCCGTGTACTATGCGAGATGTGAGCGCTTCCGTTCTCCCTGGCATTTGCATTTTGAGTTCCGATACTGACCGACCTGGCCAATGCACCATTTTCTCTATACATGTGCGTTGAATACATTTCAAACCTTTTTAGCTGACTAGATTTATATATTTCCCACCTTCTGATCGAGTGAGACTATTAGATTCCCTCTACTTTTTGAGAAACGAGCGTTTCCGTTCTCTCTGGCCCCACCTGCACTATGAGTGCGAAATGCCGGCCAGACTGGCCGATGCACCATTTTCTCTACACATGTGCGTTAGTTACCTTTCAAACCCTTACGTTCACTAGATGAATATATTTCCTACCTTATATTTGAGTGAGACCACTAGATTCCGTGCATTATGCGAGATCTGAGCGGTTCCGTTCTCCCAGGCATTTGCACTCTAAGTTCCCATACTGACCGACCTGGCCAATGCACCACTTTCCATATACATATGCATTAGATTCCTTCCGAACCTTATTAGCTGACTAGATTTATATATTTCCCACCTTCTGATCGAGTGAGAACGCTAGATTCCCTTTACTTTTTGAGAAATGAGCGTTTCCGTTCTCCTTGGCCCTACTTGCACTATAAGTGCGAAATGCCGGTCAGACTGGCCGATGCACCATTTTCTCTACACATGTAGGTTAGTTACCTTTCAAACCTTTACGTTCACTAGATGAATTTATTTCCTACCTTCTATTTGAGTGAGACCACTAGATTCTGTGTACTATGCGAGATCTGAGCGCTTCCGTTCTCCCTGGCATTTGCACTCTAAGTTCCCATACTGACCGACCTGGCCAATGCACCATTTTCCATATACATATGCATTAGATTCCTTTCGAACCTTATTAGCTCACTAGATTTATATATTTCCCACCTTCTAATCGAGTGAGACTGCTAGATTCCCTTTACTTTTTGAGAAATGAGCGTTTCCGTTCTCCTTGGCCCTACTTGCACTATAAGTGCGAAATGCCGGCGAGACTGGCCGATGCTCCATTTTCTCTACACATGTGCGTTAGTTACCTTTCAAACCCTTACGTCCACTAGATGAATTTATTTCCTACCTTCTATTTGAGTGAGACCACTAGATTCCGTGTACTATGCGAGATCTGAGCGCTTCCGTTCTCCCTGGCATTTGCACTCTAAGTTCCCATACTGACCGACCTGGCCAATGCACCATTTTCCATATACATATGCATTAGATTCCTTTCGAACCTTATTAGCTCATTAGATTTATATATTTCCCACCTTGTGATCGAGTGAGACCGCTAGATTCCCTCTACTTTTTGAGAAATGAGCGTTTCGCACTATAAGTGCGAAATGCCGACCAAACTGGCCGATGCGCAATTTTCTCTACACATGTGCGTTAGTTACCTTTCAAACCCTTACATTCACTAGATGCATATATTTCTTACCTTATATTTGAGTGAGACCACTAGATTCCATGTATTATGCGAGATCTGAGCGGTTCCGTTCTCCGAGGCATTTGCACTCTAAGTTCCCATACTGACTGACCTGGCCAATGCACCACTTTCCATATACATATGCATTAGATGAGAAGAATTGAACGAGAATGGAATGACTATGAACGAAGTGAGTACAAATAGGAAACCCTGATTGGGTTGTACCCCTTATGGGATACCCCACTATAGCCTACAGAAACAAGTAAGCTATATGTTCTGACACACCCCCATAGGCAAAGTGGGGGAGAACAAGGGGTCACAAGACCAGTCAAGCAAAGCAAAGCAAAGCTCAGGGTGGATCACAAAGTCACCACGCATTCCGAGCACAAGTTCAAAGGCCAGAAGGCCAGTTCACATGCAAGATCATATATAGAGATATACAAGAGGCAAACAAGCAAGAACAAGAGTATATATATAGGCGAAGGTACAAGCAAGGTCAAGAGGAGAGCAAGTGAGGCAAGACAGGCACAAGACCCAACTGCGTGCAACAACGCTGATGATCACAAGGCGCAAGTGCCTTGGTGAAGATATCAGCAGTGTTGGCCTCAGAGGCCACGTACGCAAGTCGCAACTGTCCACGCTGCTGTAGCTCACGAGCAAGAAAGTAGCGGAGAGCAATGTGCTTCGTTCTGTGCTCCAGTCGCTGCTCTCGACACAAGGCCAGCATGGCCTTGTTGTCTACGTACAGGACTGGAGGAGAACGAGGCTGCTCTCCAAGGTCGGTCAGCAGGTAGGTGAGCCAACGTAACTCCTGCGCAGCCATAGCCCCAGCGTAGATCTCAGCCTCACAACTGGAGCCGAGAACAGAAGACGAGCGGGTAGCCCGCCACGAAACAGAGCCGGAACCAAGGCTGAAGGTGTAACCCTGTGACGACCGCTGCGTAGCCTGGTCGTCAGCCCAAGAAGCGTCTGCATGCCCAGTGAGGACCACTGGACTGCGCCCTCCAAGCACTAGCCCCATGCCCGACGTGCTGCACAAGTAGCGCAACACCCTCTTCGCTGCAGCCATGTGCTCTGGTCGGTGTCTCCCAGGAGCAACATAGCGTGCGAGAATGCTAAGAGGGTATGCAAGGTCAGGACGTGTGCAGGTCATCAGGTACATGAGGCAGCCAACAAGCTCTGCAAACGGGCCACTCGACTCTACGGACTCATCCGAAGGCAGAGCTGAGAGTGAGTGGCGAGTAGGCAGAGGAGTGGCCTGAGGCGAGGAGTACGTGAAGCCGAAGCGCTGAAGGACCTGCTGCACCATGTGTGACTGAGTCAGGGTAATGGTGCGGCGCGCTCTGTCCCGGGTGATCTGCAAGCCAAGGTAGCTACGCACTTCACCCAGGTCAGTGCACGTGTGTCTCTTCTGCAGCTCGGACTTCACGTAGGCGAGTCCAGCAGTGTAAGCTGTGGCAAAGACCAAGTCGTCGACGTACACGAGGATGTAGAACGGCGGCAGAGAGGTGTCGGTGCGCAGAAACAGCGACGGGTCGGCAGTAGACGGAGCAAACCCAAGTGTCGCGAGCGTAGTCCTCAGTGTGTCGTGCCACTCACGAGGCGCCTGGCGGAGACCGTAGACTGGACGCTAGAGACTCCACTGGGTACCAGGAGGGAACGACCCAGTGAAGCCAGGTGGGCGGCGCAGCCAGATCTCCTCGTGCAGGCTGCCCTGCAAGAAAGCTGTGCTGAAGTCGAGAGAGTGCAGCTCGTAGTCACGGTGAGCAGCAACGTGCAGCAGAACCCGAAGAGTAGTCATCTTCGGGGTGGGGGAGAAGGTCTGAAAGTAGTCAACCCCCTGCCGCTGACTGAAGCCACGAGCCACGTAACGCGCCTTGAAGACAGGCGGTGAAACCGGCGGCCGCTTCACCCTGAAAATCCACATGCCACTGACGATGTTCGCCCCAGGAGGGGGAACAGCGTCGACGTAGGTGCCTGTGGACTTCCAGGAAGCCATCTCTGCATCCATAGCTGCCTGCCACTGAGAGGAGTAGGGACCCTCTATCGCCTCCGCGTAAGAGCGCGGAGTCGGGATGTCTGGTGCATCCGGGTCTCCCTCAGGGGCTAGCAGTACAGACGCGAGATGAGGTGAAGCGGCTGCCAGACACTGGAACTCCTCCTGCCTGTCCTCAAGGACGTCCGTGCCGAGGGCACACTCACC